ACCCTTGTGAGCAAGAGCGCTGAGAATTGTGAACATTCAGTATGCCAAATGATGGAAATGCCATTTTTCTCACTTTTTTCTTTTTCTACTATCAGATAGTCAGTTCCTTTTTCTTATGCTGTGATCTGATGCTGCATGTGGGGTTTATTTACTGTAAGGATTGATGGTGACATCACAACCAGAGGAAGCAGCTGCTCACAGAATATCACTTGTTATTAACTCTGAGTGGCTAATGGCCAGCTGCCAATGGCATGAACATTACTTTTGTGCCCTATTCACAATCCATGGCATAATGGAAATTTTCTTTCCCTCTCCAAGTCTGGAAGATCCAGGATATGTTAGATCTCTCCGTCTTCACTTTATCTGTGTCTCCACGTTTTAAATTTAGAAAGTAGGGATGATTACATTCCCATCTTATAAATAGTCTTGTGAGGACACAGACATAAAGATTTTCAAGTAGTTCCTAGCATGTAAAGTAAGTTTTCTAAAAGTTGGTTTTTTTTGGCCAGTTCTGGGACTTGAACTCAGGGCCTATAGCCTCAGTTGGCTTTTTCCACTCACAGCTGGTGCTTTACCACTGAAGCCATCCCTCCACTTTTCCCTTTTTGCTGATTACTTGGAGATAAGCTATGTTTCAAAGCTTGATTCTCAGATCTCAGCCTCCTAAGTAGCTAGGCATGAGTCTTGTGCCTGGTTGCTGTTACTGTTTTTTGTTTGCTTATTTGTTTATAGAAAGGATGGAATAGATGGGGCTATCTTTTCAGTGACCTTCAGCTTCCTGGGCAAATGTACATTAAAGCTACCTTGATGGTACCTTTGTAGCCTAGCACTTTTAGGCTGCAAGCTTAATAGGATTCAGGTGGGAATAACAGCTATGCTGTTATTAGTCGTGTGTGTGTGTGTGTGTGTGTGTGTGTGTGTGTGTGTGTGTCTGTGTGTCTGTGTGTGTGTCTGTGTGTGTTTAGGATTGGAACTCAGAACCACTGCTAGGACACTTGAATCACACTCCCAGTCCTCATATATCTTATTTGAAGAATACTGGCGAAGATCTATTAACTTTTAGGCAAGGTTGTTTCGGTTTAACCAGGTCAGGGCAGAAGGTCATGTAGTGTGCCCCTTCGCATGTAGCTGAGCACAGGTAGTACTAGTACTTCCAGACTTCTCTCACAATCCATTTATGTCTGACCAAAAGTTCTACTTAGTCTAGATTGGAAAAGGTCATTTTGTTGTTCTTGGAAGTTCAAGTGCTTTGCCAGCAGGGATGCCAAATGTGGTTTGTTGGGGCCAACCTGGGAACGAAAAGACCCTGAGAGAAAACAACTCAGGTAGAAAAGGATTTGCTTCTTGGGAGGAAAAAAAAATTTTTTTTTCAGTATAAAATTAGTAGCAATACATTAACATCATTTTTATTCTTTTCAAAATAGGAAACATATGAAATAAAATGACAGGATATGCATGTACTCATTCACAAGATTAAACAGATGTTAATATTTTGCGATATTTGTTTTCTACCTCTTTTGGGGGAAGAAAAAAAAAAGCATAACCAGATGTAGGTAAAGTACCATGCCCCTTTGTTTTGTTCTTTGCCAAGGGAAGTTGTGTTTGTGTCAGATGTGTTTGTGTCCTACCTGTACATGTAGGGAGGGAGAGGGAGAGAACGCTCTGCCTTTGCCCCTGCGTCCAGTAGGTCTGCAGTCAGGCCTCTCCCTGTGGAGATGGGCGCCCTTCCCCTCCACACTGCCCAGGGGCTGCGTGCTGCATGGATGCCCTCTCTGTCTTTTCTACCTGGGACCAGGCTGCTCTGCTTGCCAAAGGAATTGTAGGAGCCCTGTGTGAGTCCCTCCTTCCCTGCTCACTCTATTCACATGTACATTTCTTGCCAGTAGTGAATTACCAGTGAGATGGAGTCTCTCTTATACTGTGGTCATCAGGTTCCCCCCACTGTCACTGCCCACTGGTCTCTTCAGTTATTCCTTGACCTGTTGGACAATGCACATATGGCATATCTTTTCTCTGTAATTTGTCTTTCCACTTTGTGTGTGCGCATGCGCCTATGTATGTGCATGTGTGCACACATGTGCATGCATGTGTTATTTTATGACAATGTCTTGCTATCTAACCCAGACTGGCCTCAAAACAGCCTTTGGTTGTGGGTTTTTTTTTTTTGTTGTTGTTGTTGTTTTTTACAAGCCATACTGCTGAATTTGGTCTTCATGTCTGCCTCTCCTTCCTCCCTCCTTCCTCCTATTTCCCCTTTATTTTATAGTCCTGGAACTGGAACTCAGGCTCTCACCCTTGCTAAACAAGTGCTCAATCACTTGAGCTATGCCCCATCCCCTCTCCTTCCCTTTTCTCCCCTCTTTCCTTTGAGGAGGTTTTTCTTTCATGTAAGTCATATAGGCTTAATAATTCCTCCTTATACTGTAGTATGGGTCCTTTCCTTCTAGTTCTGTCCTTTGTGATACATTCCATATGCAGTGAGTTCATATATAAGAGCTCTGTGCTCTGGACATTTTGTGTTTGAAGCCATCTCTTCTAGACATTTGGCTAAATTTACATGTAAAAACACTTGGGCCATGTGTGTGGGAGGGTCAGTTGTGGGGCCTGAACTCTGGGCCTGGGTGCTGTCCCTCAGCTCTTCAGCTCAAGGCTAGTGCTCTAGCATTTGAGCCACAGTGCTACTTCCAGTTTTCTGGTGATTTATTGGAGATAAGAGTCTGATGGGCTTTCCTTTCCAGGCTTGCTTTGAACCGTGATCCTTAGATCTCAGCCTCCCTGAATAGCTAGGATTACAGATGTGAGCACCCAGCCAGGGCGGGTCACAGATCTTATGTGTTAGAGTGTTCGTGGACATTTTCCCGCAGTGCTGGGGACTGACTCTAGCATGTTAGGCACATGTTCTAATCTGCTCTCCCAGCCCCTGGGCCTAATGGTAATGAGTTGCAAGGGAAAAGGGGGAAACCATGAAGAAACCGAGGCCTCAGTTCTGTAGATAGTACTATATCTTAAATCTCAACCATATCATACATAGGACCATATCGTCTCAACTTAGCACTTGCCTTCTCAGCAGAAACCTTCCCAAGACAGTGGCCACACACAGGCCTGCAGTGGCCTTCCTCGTTCCTCTACCCCTGTGTCCTCCTGGACCACGTCTTATCTGCGTTGTAACTGCCTATCACAAGGTCTCTGTTCTCATGGAATGCCATGCTCAGGCCAAAGCAGAGCTGCCCTGGTCACGCTGCGTCTCCAACACTCAGCCCGGCGTCTGGCCCATAAAAGTTCACCAGTAACTCATAGTCGTTAATTCTTAATGATGCGGTACTATAAATATTCTGATGAGAACTTTTATTGAGTACTTATTATATCCCAGGTACTATAATTAATTTTTTATCCACTTTACACAAATAGTAATGCTAAGTTATGATTTACCTACACAAGTTGTCCTTATTGTAGTCTTGGGAGATAAATATTATTGTTACCTATTTTACAGATGATGTAGCTGGCATTTAGATACATTCTTTTCTTTCTTTTTTTTTTTTTTTTGTCAGTTGTAGGGCTTGAACTCTGGGCCTGGGCGCTGTCCCTCAGTTCATTTCAAGGCTAGCACTCTGCCACTTGAGCCACAGTGCCACTTCCAGTTTTTTGGTGGTTTATTGGAGGTTAGAGTCTCACAGACTTTCCTTCCCAGGTTGGCTTTGAACAGCGATCCTCAGATCTCAGCCTCCTGAGTAGCTAGGATTACAGGAGTGAGCCACTGGTGCCGGGCTAGATACATTCTTTGACTTACCTAAGGTCAGCTTCTTTAAGCATTAGAGCCTGGATTCAAACTCCTACCTGTCTGGCTCTAGAGTCTCTGGTTTGGCACTGTACCACTCATTGCTTCTCTGTCTCCAAAGCCAAATAAGGTTGGGGAACCAAAGCCATACAGTTTACTGATGTTGTAAAATTGCAAAGGGGACAGACTGAAGCCTGAAGCCTGCCTCCTTTAATAAGAGAATGATGTAAGCGAGGGGGTTCCATTGTATATTGTGATGATTCCTTTGTGGGCATTGCTCTTGGAGCACATCTAGCAGGGGCTGGCATTGACCTGTTGAACCTGTAACACCTGTGGTTATGGCAGCACTGGTCTCAGTTATACCACACTGGCCTGATGAGCCAGGCTGGCTTGTTCTGTCCCCTTGTGGACCATGCGTGAGTGCTGGTACTCGTGGGCTATAGAGCTGGAAGGAGGTGAGGTCTAAGTTGGTGTGGATCCCATTGTCTTTCTGGTGTTCCTGGTGACTGAGGAATGGTGACTGAGGAGACATTTCAGTGTTGCCATTGAATCCCTAAGAAATTTTAAAGAATTTTTTTATTTTTTTATTTTTATTTTTTGGTGGTCTGGGGCTTGAACTCTGGGCCTGGGCGCTGTCCCTAGGCTCTTCAGCTCAAGACGAGCATTCTACCACTTTAGCCACTGTGCCATTTCTGGTTTTCTGGTGGTTCTTTGGAGATCAAAGTCTCACAGACTTTCTTTGCTTGGGCTGGCTTTAAACTGTGATTCTCAGCTTCCTGAGTAGCTAGGATTACAGGCGTGAGCCACTGGTGCCTGGCTTTTACTTATTTTTTTTTTTTATGTTAGCAGTGACAACCATTTCTAGAACTGACACTTTGTCAAAGATACTATGTTATTTATTACATTAAGAGTTGCATATTGAATTTTGAGTAATACCAAGTTTTGGTGTTTTTTTTTAATCCTGTAAAAACCATCTACAGTTATGTTATTGTATAATTTCATTCTGGTAAAAAAGACTTACGCATTCTCTTTGCTGTGTTTTATTAATGCAGATTGGAAATGTGGATCCTTGTAACTTGGTGGCCTGTCCTTGGTACTAGCTATTTCTAGAAGTGGAAATTGGCAGATTTATACTCACTGACACACAGATATCATCCATCATAGGTTGAGTTGTGGGTGTAGATCATGGTGTTGATGTTACATACCGTTTTGTCTCTTGTTTCAGACCGGTCGAATTGACAAGTCCTACCCTACAGTATGTGGCCACACAGGACCAGTGCTGGATATAGACTGGTGTCCTCACAACGATCAGGTCATTGCCAGCGGCTCCGAGGACTGCACAGTTATGGTAAGCTCCTAGTGATGCTTTCAAGTATGCGTGTGTGCGTGTGTGTGTGTGTGTGTGTGCTTGCACTTGCGCGCATATGCATATGGTAAATAGGGGGAGAGACCTTAAAAAGCAGCAAATTGGGCTGGGAAGGTGGCTCAGTGGTAGAGTGCTTGCTTTGTATGCATGAGGCCCTGGGTTTGATTCCTCAACACCACATAAGCAGAAAAGCTGGAAGTGGCACTGTGGCTCAAGTGGTAGGGCGCTAACCTTGAGCTGAAGAGCTGAGGGCCCCAAGTTCAGGCCCACGACTGACCCCCCCCCCAAAAAAAAAGGCAGCAAATCATCTGGGCATCAGTGGCTTATGACTGTAAACCTAGCTAGTCAGGAAGCTGAGATCTGAGGATCTCAGTTCAAAGCTACCCTGGGCAGGAAAGTCTGTAGGAGTCTTATCTCCAGTCAACTACCAAAAAGCTGGAGCTGGATATGTAGCTTAAGTGGTAGAGTGCCAGCTGTGAGGAAAAAAGCTAAAGGACAAGTACCTACTCCCTTAGTCCCTGAGTCCAACCCCAGTACTGGCACCCAAAAAGGAGGGGGCGGGGCAGAAAAATCTGTAATGATTTTGCCTCTATATTGAATTACGTCAGGATGTTATGACCTTAAAGCTTCACTGTAAATGGCCCTTAACAAGCCCTGCCCCAGTTGCTTGTATTGTATTGACTTTGTTCTTTGTATGCATGTGTATATGTTTGTGCATATTGGCAGCTCACATGTGCTATGTGGGGAGGATTTTAGAGCAAGCAAAATGACTCCTGGTCTGTGAATGCCATTTGGCTACATGACACCTCTCTCAAAAAGTGAAACTGCTGGCACCGACTGTCTGTCCGAGTGCAGTAAGACGCCACACAGTAATCAGAGGGTGTGGTGGGCACTGGGAGAGGAAAGAGTTTAGCAAGAGCTTGTTCTGAAGTCCTGTCAGAAGGCGTATGTTTGCTGTGTGGCGGACACTGCTCAGGAGTCTTTTCATGAAGAAATACAAATCCCTGTAAGTTCTTTGTAGTCCCTCTTTTGGATTCCACAAGTAGGTTATGTATGAAACTGGGCTTTGGGATACTTTGGGGGGTTTTGTTGTTTTGAAGCAGAGTCTTGCTGTTACCCAGACTGGTTTTGAAAACTGCTGGGCTCAAGCGGTCCTTCTACCTTTCCCTTCTAGGTAGCTGGGCCTATAGTCACACATGACCATACTCTACTCAAAAGTACTTCCTTTCCATTTTTTCTTCTTCTTTCTTTTAGTTGTTGCCAGTAAGTACTGGGGCCTCAGTTCTTGCATGGCTTTTTTTTTTCCACTCAAGGCTGGTGCTCTACCACTTGAGCCACAACTCCAGTTCTTCTTCTGAGTTTTTGCTGGTTAATTGGAGATGAGGGTCTTGGACTTTTTTTTTCTGAGCTGACTTCTCACCTTGAATCCTCAAATCACAGCCTCTTGAGGAGCTAGGGTTGCAGGTGTGAGCTCCAAAGTACTTTCTAACACAGAGACTCTTGTTCTTTGTTCTGAGCTTTAGCCTTAAAATAGGATTATTGGTTTGGATCCCTTTTTCAATCCTTGCTCAAAAATGTTGAAGACCAGTGAACAGGTGGCAGGTGCTACTTCCCCTGGGCAGGTGAGGCTGAGGAGAGCCTGCAGTGCTGTGCTATTTTGGTTTTCCTTTTTCCTGTCTGTGGCCCAAAGCATGGTTTCTCTGTTTGGAATGCCTTATTAGTTGCAATTCTTTTATGCAAACAAATTAATTCCTGAACTGTGTTCTTTAAAACATCTACCCACTTTTCCTCGTGGGCTTCTGGCTTCCCTGTGATCTGCTCACTTTGGCAGCTGCAATCCGTCGTGCTGCTAAGAGGACTTGTTCTGTTTAGTAGGTCTTGCTTAGGGGATCCTTTTACTGGCTGCAACACGTTTTGCAAAAGGAAAGGAACACCATTTGGATCTGTGGCCAAAATGTACAACTAAGTTTGAATTTTAAGCTTCTAAAAGGCAGTTCTGATCTCTCTCTCTCCCTGTCCAGCCTTCCTGGTCATGTTACCTTCAAACAAACAAGGAAACAAACAAAAACCTTTAGCTGGGTGCTGGTAGCTTATGCCTATAATCCTTGTTACTCAGGAGGCTGAGATCTGAGGATCAGGGTTCAAAGTCAGCTTAGGGAGGAGAGTGCATAAGACTCTTACCTCCAATTAACTACCAGAAAACCAGAAGTGGCACTGTAGCTCAAGTGGTAGAGCACTAACTAGCCTTGAACAAAAAAAGAGCTAAGGCAGTACAAGCCCCATAACACACACACTCTCTCTCTCTCTCTCATACACACACACACCAGCAATTTTTTTTTTCTTTTTTGTCAGTCATGGGGCTTGAATGCTGTCCCTCAGCTCTTCAACTCAAGGATAACACTCTACCACTTGAGCCAATGCACCAGTTGTGGTTTTCTGAGTGGTTTATTGGAGGTATGAGTCTCACGGACTCTCCTGCCCCAGCTGGCTTTGAACAGTGATCCTCAGATTTCAGACTCCTGAGTATGAGCATGAGCTACCGGCACGGGGCAAAAACAAAAAAACCTTTTATATTGAAAAGTGGATTGAGTGATTTCTTAGCACATGGTGAATGTGCTACTGTGTTAAGACCTAGAACTTCCTCAGTCTCCTCCCACTACTGCTTGCCGCCCATCCCCATCCCATCCTCCCCTTCTGATATCAGAATAACTGACTTCTATTTTATTGGTGTCCTTGCTTTTCTTGATGATGTTAGTCACACAAGTGTGCATCTTTAAACACTGTGACTTTGCCTGGCCAGTTAAAAAACCTTGACAGGTTGGCTTTACGTCTGTGGATTCCTCTCATTCTTTTTTCCTCCTCCTGCACAATCTGTTGAAGAATTGTGACCTTTGACCTGTGCTGTTCAACTATCTGGATTTTTCCCATTGCTCCCTTGTTCACATGCTACTCTATCTGGATCTTTGTTCAACTCCTTGAGCGAGACTTGTTAGAGTTATGTTTTTCCTTCAGGAGGCACATAGTGTATGTTTTCCATTCTTGTTTGATTTGTGCAAGTGTGGGTGCTGAATGCCTCCATCTAGTAAATCATTAAACGGCTGAAAAATTGCTGCCTTTACCTATTCCTTTCCTTTCGTTATATTTGTTTGTTTGTTTGTTTTGTGCCAGTCCTGAAGCTTGATCTCGGTCTAGGTGCTGACCCTGAGTTTTTTTGCTCAAGGCTAGCACTCTACTGCTTGAGCCATAGCTTCCCTTCCAGCTTTTTGGTGGTTAATTGGAGATAAGAGACTCCTAGACTTGCCTGCCTGTCTGGCTTTGAACCATAATCCTCAGATCTCAGAGTAGTAGGATTATAGGTGTGAGCCACTAGTTCCTGGCTTGTTTCCAGTTTTTAAGTTGTAAACTTTTATCAGGTGATATTGCCTCTTCCTGATTCTTTTGGTCGTGGGGCTTGAACGTCAGCCTTGATGCTGTTCCTGAGCTCTTTTTTTCAAGGCTAGTGCTCTATCACTTTGAGCCACAGAGCCACTTTCAGCTTTCTGTTGTTAATCGGAGATAAGAGTCTCACAGACTTTGCTTCCCCCTGACTGGTTTTGTACCCTGACCCTCAGATCTCAGCTTCCTGAATAGCTAGGTTATAGGCATTGAGCCACCAGTTCCCCGCTTCCTGATTCTTTAGTGACCCAGTGTCACATCTCACGTAGGAAAGAGGAATAAACTCTGGTTTTCATTTATCCAGTTTTCAAGGAAATGAATGGACTCTTAGGGACTGGACTCTTAGTTATCCTCAGAAAGTGACCAGTCAGGGTTATTTTTCTCCCTTTCATTTCACTTTGATGTCAGAGATGTGAATATATTTAACGGGTTCCAATTTGTTGTATTTCCTGAAGCTCAGAGCTCAGCTTGTCCTGTCTTTGCTAATGAGAACGTCTTCAAGATTTTGAGGTCACTTGCAGTGACCCCACCATTTCAATGGTGTTTTACAGCTTCCTTGTCTAAAACATTAAGGTGTTTCAGGCTTACCTTGGACATCTCTGCCCAGTCCTTGAAGCTGCTGTTTCTTTCAGAAGACCTTGGTGTCTCTGAATTAGAATATGGTGTTTCTACATCTTGGCCTGGGAGCTATGGAGTGTCAGCATTACAACAGGGTGATCATTGTTTAAATGAGTGAGTAAAGCAGCTAGAGAGTGAATGTATGTGTAAAGATTCAAGGCCTTGGGTTATTTTAATATCTAGTTCGCTTCAGGCCCGAGTTTGCTACTGTCTCTTGTCTGCTTTCCTTTTGCTCTGAGAATCCTGGTTCTCAAGGCGCACAGGGTAAGTTAGAACACTTTGCTCTATGATCATTGCTTTCGTATTATGCATGCCATGAATGATATGATGAGCCATTGGCTCACAGTGCAAATGTTGATATCATCCCCAATAGATTTCCCGAAAATTATTGTTAAGAAGTCAAAAAATCCCCTCTGTACATGACCTTTATAATGCTAACAACAACAAAAAGAAGTAAAACACTTAGGGCTGGAAGTGTGGCTCAAATAATAGAGCACCTGCCTGGCAAGTGAAAGCCCTGACTGAGTTCAAACCCCGGAGGAAGCGAGGGAAATCCCAAAACTTCATTCATAAATGAAGGGAGAATGGATGCAACCATCGCTGCTTCTCATGCTTTGTCTCTGCTCTGTCCTTGTGGCCCCAGCTGAAGCAGATGGGTAAATGTTGGCAGATCATGGCCTTAGTAAACTGGAGAGTTGCCATTATTTTCAGCCGGATGCGAGAACATCCCTGTGCTGCTGAGGCCAGGCGTGGGGCCACCTGACAGGGGATAGGGAAGGGGCTGCGGGGCTGGGTGCCTGGTGCCCTCCTAGCCACTGGGACCACTCCTAGGCCTCTGCTTAGTTAGGGGTGGCTGCTGTTTCCGCTTCTTCCCAACCTCTTGGCCTTCTTCCTTTCAGCTTCTCTTGTAAAACTTGCTATTAATCTTT